TTTTTTTTTTTATACAAGTTCCATACTTACAATCAAATACATCCTTAATGAAAATTGTGTCCGTTATCATAAAAGGATGGTGCTACTCTGCCAGGGCCAGTGACTAGGGGTAGGGAAAAATCAATCTGAATCAGTCAAATCGATCAACCGAACCCAACCGGTTTGGATTGATTTTTTAGTTCAATTAGGTTATGGTCAGGGTAAAGAAATCAAATTTTAGGTCGGGTCGGGTTGGGTTATCTATTAAAACCCAATCAAACACAACCCAACCAATTAAATAAAAAATATTAAAAAGAAAATTAGTACTTAAAACCAAAAACCAAAACCCAATTGATCAAATTCTCCTTTACCTCGTCTCTTGTGTCTCTCATTGCTGCTCATGCCTCTACTTCTCAACTCGATTTTTGACGTGATTTTTCACTACACACTTGGATTGAAGGAAGAGATTTTGTATTGAGTTTGAATGATTTAACATTTTTAGTATTTATGTTGAATTTATCTTATTCAATATCTATAATATGTAGATATTCAACATGTATTTAGATTGATTTAATATGTATTTAATTTGATCATAGTATAATCTTAACATTTTTAGTATTTATGTTGAATTCATATTATTCAATAGATATAATATTTAATATGTATTTAATTTGATTATGATATAATCTATTTAACAAGTTTAACAATATTTTAAATTTATATTATTGAAATGGAACTTAACCCTACGGACCATTGATCCAATTTCAATCGATTTAAAGTCTTTCAATCACCATTTTCAATGGAATTGAAATTGGTCTAAATTGTAATGATATCAAACTTTAGAAAAATTGTTCAAATTCAACGAAAAAGGTCCCAACCATTGGGCCCATAAAAAAAAATTATCCAACTTGAATTGGACTCAAGTCTAAACCAATCAACCCAACCCAAATCAACTCGAGTTTTGTTGATTTGGATTGTGTTATGTTTCAACTGTGAATGAATTGTTTTCGGTTTGAATTATTGTCAAATCGAACATTTTAGGTTGGACTCAAAATCAATACAACCAAACCCAATCTACGCCCAACCCTACCACGGGCAGGCAGAATAGATAAACGGGTTAAATTCATTAATTTCTACACAATTTTATACTTAGTATCATCATGGTCACCCAATTTGATTTTGTTTCACCACACACCCAACTTTATATTTAGTGTCACCATAACCACCCAATTTCTATAAAATTTTAT